CTTTCCAGCCATAATGATTCTATGATTGTGGAACCTCATGGGGTCCACATGGGCCCACTTCTCAAGCTTGCCTAGGTCCCTCTAGATGGAACCTGATAAGGAGAGTGTGGCAGCCAAGCAGCAGGGAAAGCCTGAGCTTTGGTTCAGATGCTGCACCTCAGCATTCACCCAGCTAGCTCAGGAGAGCCACTGCATGAAGTTGTGCACCTGTGATCAGCCAAAACAAGCACCGAACGCTGAGCTGCAGGTCATGGGAAGCTCCTGAGCTTGACACTGAAGCAGTGAGCCATGAGATTTATCCTTCCTGGCAGCTCCTACAGCAACCCCATGCCCAGAGGTCCTGCTCAGCGTGGACTGCTCGGCTGGGGCCCTGCCCTGTCCCAGCAGGGAGCTGCAGCAGGCAGTGCTCTGCTCCACACCCTCCTTCCCCCAGCCTGGGACCTGCATAGTTGGGCTCCTGCTCCTCAGACTCGTCGGGACCATCCATGGGCTCCAGGTAGGCAGCTGGCACCCAGCCCCGTCTGTTCTTCAGCTGGCAGAACCACCAACCTGTGAGGAGAGCAGAGGGTGCTGTGCCCACCGTGGGTGCAGCAGGGCTGGCTCTGTCCTGCCCGGGGCTGGAGCAGGACCCGTGTGGCCTGGGTGGAAGGGATGGGGTGCAACCAGGGAGCTTGGCCAGCTCTGCTTCCCCTGGGCAGGAGATCTCAGAGGCATGTGAGGAGGTTTTCTAGGCTTGCCCCACAGCCCCCCTGTCCAAAACCAACCCATGTGAATGTGAAACACATCCCCCGGGGGCAGGAAGCACCGAGGGGTTTGTTGGCTGGGTTACTGGCCCTGAGGCTCTCCTCTCCACCAACAGACTGACAGAACCGCCCCCCTTTAGCCCACCCACGGGTGTGACCGGCTCAGGCTGGGCGGGCAGTCCCTGTCCCTGCTGGAGGCGTGGCCGGGGGGAGCTGGCCCCGGGGGCTCTCTGGAGGGGAGGGCACGTACCGCTCTCGCTCTTCTCCACGACGTCCACCATGTCCCCAGCCCTCAGAGCCATCTCAGACGTGGAGCTCTTCTCGTAGTCAGCGATGGCTCGGTACGTCTGCAGGACGATGGGGCCCGTGATGTCTGTGTGGGAGAAGTGAGAGGGGTTCCCAGACCCCAGCGCAGAAATACTCAGCTTCAAGGAGGTCAAAAGCAGCCCCGGGACAGCCCAAAGTGTCCCCCCAAGCCTCCTCTTGTCCCAAACCAGCTGGATGCCAGGACACACACTCATTGCCCACTCCCCTAAGGCTGTGGTTTCTGCAGGACGATGGGGCCCGTGATGTCTGTGTGGGAGAAGTGAGAGGGGTTCCCAGACCCCAGCGCAGAAATACTCAGCTTCAAGGAGGTCAAAAGCAGCCCCGGGACAGCCCAAAGTGTCCCCCCAAGCCTCCTCTTGTCCCAAACCAGCTGGATGCCAGGACACACACTCATTGCCCACTCCCCTAAGGCTGTGGTTTCCTCCCAGCTGCAGCTCTGGCACAGAGACCATGCCCTCGGTCAGGGCATCTGCCAGGGGGTGGCTGCCCCTCTCCCTGCACCCCTCAGAGGGCTCTTACCAGTGAGGGTTTTCTTGGCATCCTTCGGCAGGATGAAGACCTCGGGCTTCTTGATCCTAGAGAGGTGAGAGCACAGGCAGCTGGAGCGCACCCGCCCCTCGCTGCCGGCAGCGCTGCCCTCCCCGGGGCTGCAGCAGCTCCCCCAGGCTGCAGGCAGCTGCACTCACTGGCTGTCTGTGACAGGGTTCATGTCGTCGTGCCGGACCTTGAAGAAGTCGACCACGTGCAGGCACCTGGAGATCTTGTGGGGCAGGTTGACCAGGGCGTAGCAGTACTCGGCCAGCGTGCCCTGCCTGCTCTCGGTGGAGCGCTGCCCATCGAACCACTTCGGGGCTGGGGAGAGGGGGAAGGGCTCAGGGACAGCAGCTGGGACACCCCTGGTTGTGCAACCGTCCCTAATAGGCTGCTCCAAGCCATGAGTTTTCCCCTGAAGACAAGTGGGTTTGGCCCCAGGGTGCCCAGACAACAGCCTGTTTGGCCCCGTGTCAGTTAGAGGACGACTCCCATGTCCTCAGACCAATCCCAGCTCCAGCGGCTGCAAGGGGCACAAGGAGGGGCCCTGGGGACCACCCTGGGCTCAGGGGAGATGTGCACGTCCCTCTGGCCACAGCCTGAGTCCTGCTGCAGCCACCCTGGAGCCCAGGGCTCCAAAATGCCCCTGGCAGCTTGAAAGGGCTGGGGTCTAAACCCCAGCTGTGCATCAAGGTTGACATAGGGATGATGCCCATGATCAGGCAGGAGAGACCTTCCTCTCAGATTTCTCTCAAGGCCTGACCAACCTTGGGTGAAAACCAATTAGAAATTAATAAATACCAGGTGTCCCACCTCTAGAGTTAATAGTGTAAAAGCTGGCCCTGCTGGCAGGGAGGGGGAAGTTTGCCTCTGTAGAGGATGCACTAGGAGGGGTTTCCTGTTACTGGAAGATTTCTCTGACCATGGCAAGCAGAGTTCCCTGTGATGGTGGGACAAGATCAAGACCAGGACAGAAAGAGGATTTTGTATGTAATTATGCTTTTCCTTGGCAAGCACTATATGGTTGGGATTGGACTGATGACCTGGTTTATTCCTGCTCCAGTGGCTTGGTTTCTAACTCGGCTCACTCCTTTCTTTGCTACATCATATGCTATGAGTGACTACATCGATCTCTTTGTCCCTCCTGTTGTGAATCACATCCTATCCTCCCTGCACCCTTAGGGATGAGGTGGAAAGGCCTGCCCTGTTTAATGCTCATGGCCTTATCCTTCTCTCTGGGGCACACAGCCAGCAGAAGACAGCCCCAGCCCAAGCAGAGCTGCTCCCCACGTTGGGGTGCACGTGTGACCAGTGGCACCCTGCAGCAGCCTGGTGCCTGCCTCCTCCCCAGTGCTTTCAGTTCCCCAGAAGGGACCAGGACACTCTGAGCAGCCCCAGCGTGGTGGTGGCAGGGCATGGGAAGGGTCCCAGCACAGCAGTGCCAGTCTGGCTCTGGGGCAGCCCCCCAGGCGTGGCACCCACACTGCTGCACGGTGCTGGGTTGTCCCTCCCCCAGTAGCACCCACCACAACCCGCAGCTGTTCCTCAAGCTCCCTCTCCCCTCCTTTGAAGCAGGAAATCAAACAAAAGGGGGAATTTTGCTGAACTGCACCTTGCCCGGGGACAAACTGTCAGCTCTTTGAATCGGGAATTCATTCCCTGGCATTGAAGACACGTTGCATCACTTCCTCTTACTAAATAGCTGTGTTGCCATAAGGGCACCCAAACCAATCCTACTGGTGGTGTCACTGAAGGAGGGCTTGGCTTGGCTCAGCTCAGGTTCTCCAAAGCCAGACCAGCCAGGGGTCACAGCCAATGCTGCAGGACGTGTCTCTGGTGTGCCCAGGCTTTGAGGAGGAAGGAGGGAGTGTTGGGAGAAAGCCCTGCTGCTGCTCTGACCTTTCTGGGGTTTTGGTTTTGAACCCAGTGGGCTGGAACATAACTGGCAGCAGGCATCTGCACAGGAGGCAGCTGGCACTGCCCAGCCTGCCAGGGGATTTCCCAGCTGGCTGCCACTGCCATTTCACCCCCCAGCCCTGGCACCTGCCCCTCACCTGGCAAGTGTGGGATGATCCGTTTCTCCACGTTGATGTCCCCAGATTCGATGGGGAACATCTCCTTCAGTGCTTTCTGTGGAGCAGAGCAAGGCACAGCCATGAGGATCACAGAAACATGGACTGTTTTGGGTGGGAAGGGCCCTTTCAAGGCCATCCAGTCCAACCCCCCTGCAGGGAGCAGGGACATCTACAACTAGAGCAGGTTGCTCAGAGCCCCACCCAACCTCCCCTGGAATGGTTCCAGGGATGGGGCAGCGACCACCTCTCTGGGCATCCTGGGCCAGGGGCTCAACACCCTCAGCATCAAACATTTCTTCCTTCTCTCTAGCCTAAATCCCCCCCTTTTAGGTTGAAAGCACCCCCTGCCCCGTGGCCCACCCTGGGGTGACTCACGTGGAACTCGTATATCTCGGTAAAGCGGCGGTAGATGAGCTTCTCAGAGAGGTCGTTCCATTTCACCAGGAACATGTAGACCTGAGGGCACAGCAGAGGAGCTGCAGCTCTGCGGGCACCTGGGACCCCAAAGCCCTCAGGGAGCCCCGTGGATGTTTCAGTTTCGGATAAAGTACGTGTTTTCCTTCCACCCCCCCAATGTGAGCAGCTCTGCCTGGGCAGTGAGCATGCACCGGGCACTGGGAAGCTCGGCAGGGATGGAGAGGAGACAGAAAGATGCAGACAGGTGGGAATTAGAGGAGGAAAAACTCTTCCTAAACCTGCACAGTAGCCAACGTCTTGCAAAGGAGGTGGCCAAAATCTGGGACATTTTACCTCTGGCCACCTCCAGCACTCACCCCACCAGCCGTGACGCTCCCAACCAAGGCTCTTGGGCTAAAGCCATGTGCTGCCCGGCCTTTTCTCCCCACCCAGCCCTCGCTGTACCCAGCCCGTGGGGAGGTCGGGGCATACTCACGTAGTGCTGGCTGGGGAAAAACCTCTTCTCGTAGCCCAGCAGCTCGATGTGGCGGA